CTACCTTCTAACAAGTGCCGGAAATGGCGAATAGCAAGGTGAGTTGCAAGTAATTCACGACCAAAATTACTGTAACGCGCTTGTGCAACCTGCATCTTTTGTGAGAAAAAGGCTAGTGGTTGAGATACGTTGTTAACAACTTAATGAAGTACGGCGCCGATGGTGGCGTTCGAAGCATCAGTTGTCAAAATCGGCTTTGTGCGTTCGTGAGTGCCGCGAAAAGATATCTTTGTGGCGTGGGCTATGGCTCGCTTAGCTCTTTCGAAAGCGGCAATGGCAGCGGGGGCGAAGTAACAGATTTTTCTTTGGAGCGGTCAGCGGCTGAAAATTATCTGCACAACGGGGGGTGGTGTTACCAATGCAACGACGAAGTTGGGTGAGAGTGGAAGGTATGGGAAAAGACTCTGGAGCCAAAGTGCTCTCACGCAATAGTGAAATACCTGTGGTATCAATGTGGTGGCCAATAAAATCTAGACTAGTAACACCGAATAAGCATTTCTCAATGTTTAAACGTATGTTGTAAGTGAAAAGACGTTCAGACACTGCCCTGAGATGAGCTGCATGCTCAGTTGAGGAGGTGCTAGCGACTAGAACATCGTCAAGGTAGGCATACACAAGGGGTAAACCACGTAAAACATCGTCCATGAAACGTTGAAAAGTTTGAGCTGCATTTCGAAGGCCAAAGGGCATACGCGTGAATTCGAAAAGGCCGAACGGTGTTGTGATGGCTGTTTTAGGGATGTCATCCGGGGCTACGGGTATGTAGTAGTATGCACGTACGAGATCGAGTTTGGAGAAAATGTTTGTGTGGCATAAGGTACTTGCGAAACCGTGGGTATGTGGGGTGCGATACCTGTCTGGGATAGTAGCGTTATTGAGAGAACGGTAATCTCCATAAGGTCTCCAATCACTCTTAGATTTCTTGGGTACCATATGTAGGGGTGACGACCAATGACGACCAAGTGCGGATGATGCCGAGTTCGAGCATATGTTCGAACTCGTGTTTTGCCACTTGTAGCTTATCCGGATGAAGTCGGCGGGGGTTGGTATGGACGGGTGGACCTCTGGTCTGGATATGGTAAACAATGGAATGAGTGACCGGTTGGGTGTACTGACATGGATGAGTAAGGGTTGGAAAATACCTGAGTATATCAGCAAAATGTGAATCAGGTAAGATAACTCGGATACCTGTGGATGAAGTTGGGGCACCAAGTCCGTTGACTGAGAGGGAAGTTAGCATGTCCAAGAGGCGTTTGTGTCGAACATCGACAGACAAGTTGTAGTGGGTCAGGAAGTCTGCACCAATGATGGGTGTTTGGACGTCGGCCAAAAGGAAGATCCACTTGAACGCACGTCGCAACCGAGGTCAAGGCTGAGGGAACGTTCGCCGTATGTATCAATGCGGGTACCGTTGGCGGCTTGTAACGAATAAGAGGCAGAATCAAGTGGTGGATTCTTATGTGGTAGCACGCTAACTTCAGCTTCCGTATCTACGAGGAAACGTAGATCACTTGAACGATTGATGTTGTGGAATGGGCGACTAGTGCGAAAGGAGCCCAGACAGTCGTCGCCGTTACTGAATGGCCGGGGTGTTAAAGGGGTTTTGGGAGGTGGTTTGGAGGAACAAGGCGGTTGGCATTTGCGTGCTTGAGGAACGAAAGTTTGGTGATACGAGCACCAAGAAGGACAGGCGCGGGACAAAGATCTGGATCGTGAACGTGGTCGATGCTTGTTGATCTCTAGCCGTTGTAGGCGATCGGTCAAAGTATTAAACTTAGTTTGTAGTTGCGATATGGAGGCAGGAATTGGATCGGAATCTGTAGAAGTAGTGGGCGCAGGGCAGGAAATGGAGTTTAGAAGGTTATTAAGGTAGGTTTCGTGGATTTTATCGGCTATTTGGGCTAACTGCTCCAAGCTGTGATCATCAAAAAAGGCACTCATGACGTGAGATTTGGAGGGTGGAAATTTGTCGAGCCATAGTTGGGCCATTTTTCCACCGCTAGCTTACGGCCGCAGAGGAAACTGCGCATGTGGCGAAGCAGTTGTGATGGCAACCTGTCACCAAGTTCGACAGTGGTGAATAAATCCCGTAGAATCTCGTTTACGGACTTCCTTGTCCTACTTATGACGGCCGCTCGAAGAGCGCCGTAGGGATTATCTTTGGGAATATCTTCCAACAGATTATCCATTTCTGTTGCTAGATCACAAGTAGGATTTTGGACAACATAGGAAAATCGGCTGGCTTGGGTAGTGGTGCGGCGTGTAGTAAAAACGGCCTCCACCCGGGGAAACCATAACCTCGGCCTTGNATACCCTGGGCTTGTCTGGATTATAGTCTATGCTAATCGCATTCTTGACTAAATCCGCTGAATAAAAGTGTGCCTCCATAATGACCGGGAAAAAGAAGAAAGCACGACGACTTGAAGGGAAAAGTTTTCAAAAAAATATATCTAGAGAGACTCGGGCTCACCAAAGCGGCAATTTATGCGAGTCCTCGCCCCCCACTGAGAAAAAAAGCGAGCAGCGCTACACCCTTTTTTCACTTGTGCCTTTCAGGTGAACGACAGCCGCTGAACGACAAGGGCAAAACCAACCCGGGAAGCTTGGGCAAAAGCCTCATTCCTGTGTATCAGTCCATGAATCCGTGAGCCCTGGAGTTGAACTGAAACAAGTGTATTCGCGCTAAATTCCATTACCGCCTGTTCCAATTTTTTTGCTCCGCCTCCCTCTGTGGGTTTCGTCTCAAGTTCAACGTCATGGCGTCGAACTTGGAGGCGTGTAGACGTTTTCTAAATGAAAACTCCGCAAAAGTTCGTGAAGTGAACGTTAGATGTTTATTGGGACTTGTATTTCAGGAAGCGCTTCAGAGGGAAGTGGAAAGTGTCATTATCTCTTACGGAGACCTCAGACTTAAGAAGGAGGAATTCAGTGAGTTCCTGGTTGCATCTAATCGCACTTTCAGCGTTTAATGACGGGACTTCCAAGGCGCTCTTTTGCCTCAATGGCACTATTCCTGTTCTGTACAAAAATTCAACATACAATATCCCTGTGGCCATTTTCCTGTATGATAACCACCCACACAAGGCTCCCATAGTTTACGTCCGGCCAACACCCACCATGCAGATCAAGGCAAATAACTTTGTAGATACAAATGGACTCGTATGTCTCCCCTATATATCCGAATGGAAGCACGTGAGTGGGGCATTTTTTCTGTCAACTTATCCCAATTTTGAGCCTATCAGACTCATGGGTTTATCACAGGACCGATGGAGCTCCAAAACCAGCTGGCTGCACGCGTTACACAGTTTACTACATTCTGGGGTTCAAAAGCCAGATAAAGCGTGGGATTTTGAATTGCATCCCATTTGGATGTGACGAGTGTTTCCAGGCTAGTGCAGAGACCTCGGGTCTGGCTCCGCCAGTCGTTCCCAAGTCAGAACAGGTGGTGTAGTACCAGGTGCCTGTAAATGGTTTGGGAATATTGGCCCCGTATGGGTTCGGCAAAACGCGTCCGCGATACTCTTGACAAGTGTTGCATATTCTATCGAGGACGCACGAGTTTATTAGGACGTTTAGAGTATCCCTTTGTACGGCCGGGTTACAAATCGTGATTCCTCTTACTGGAAGGAGAAATGAAGCTAAGGGGGACCAGGTTGTTAGTCGGTGCTGGACGCGAACTTAACGCGGCAGACTGGTCAAAACAACGTCGTACGCGTATTCCAAACGGTATGTGTGAAGAAATTGAGGAAAGTGCGAAATCATAAATATGTATCAAGACAACGTTAGACAGTTGAACAATACACAAGATTGTGTCCAATTCAAAGGTGCGTTGTACAAAGTATGCTACACATCGCCGCATCGTTGGACAAGTCTTTCGTTGTGTGAGTAGGTAATACAACAGAGAAGTCACTGGTTGTTTCACCCCACACTACTGACTTACTCATTCCAGTAGGGGAACCTTCGTAACTAACTTTATTTACGTGTCAGAATCCCCCAGGGATAGATAAGACCACCCGCACACACCGATGGCCTTTTTACTCCAGAGTTATCTTAAGGTTAATTTTAGGTCATTTTAATGGATTAAACTTCGGAGTTGAGACAGTTTTCAAACCTCGGGCGTGCAGTTTTTCTAGCAGTGGATTCTCGTGCCTAGTTGCCGGTGGGGGGGGGTTGCATGGAGATAGCATTCAAGCAGTGTTTGGGTGTTGTATTGGTTAACCGTTAGTCACAATAAAGGGTGCAAAGTCCCGTTGAGGCCAAGATGCCGGGGTGAGTTGTACTTCATTAATTGCAGAAATGTAGCCAACATTGACAGGGACAAGAGAGATGATATTGAGTAGGAAAAATAGCAGTTTTCAAGTGCCACAGTGTCCGCAACGAACAGTAACCGAGTAGCATGGAAGCTAGGCGCCGGAAAGGTGTTACAGCTGAACGATTTATTTTTTATCTATATTTTGTTGGGGGGCCCAAAAGCATTTTGCTTCCTTGTAGCGGCAGCGCCTCCGCTTGAACGCATACCCGTTGACAGTCGCCAGTGCGTTGTTCGTTTGGAATCTCGATGAACTATGGTCCATCTCACACTGTTTATTGTACCTGCACATTGGATGCGGAAGCTGATAAAGTGATGCGTAAATACAGCACTGTAATTGGACTGTTAAGTGGAGGGATTGGGAAGGGAGCTATGCATTAAAGACAATAGCTTGGATGCATTAGCGCCATTGAGGGCGCGACTGGGCCATGTCTGACAATGTCTCCAGCCATTGATATGACCCGTCTCAGGGTCCCCATCCAGAAAGATGGCAATGACCAGCGCAGCTGAGTTTGTTAGTAATGGCTTTTATACTCTGCTGCCAAATCATTGTTCGACTGCTGTCTTCCACCTTTCACATGGAACACATTTGTGGACTCTGACCACGCGCTCGTCCGGAGTCGCTTCACCCTACGTTTCCCGGGGTCGCGTAAGGTGCGGACAAATCGCATGGCAACTGAAAGACTGGCAGATCCGGATGTCAGACGAACTTACAAGAATCGTCTTCTAGAGTCTCTTCCAAGTGCTCCACCATCAGATGTGAACTCATACTGGGACGAGATTGCTACCTCTTTGCATAGTGCTGGGAATTTTGCCTGTGGCACGACCCAACCAGGCGCACTCAAGCACTGGATATCAGACCGAACGGTGGCACTACTTAAATCTCGAAGAAATATCCCAGCCGGTCCCGAACATAACCCGATGCGAAGAGCCATCAGACGCCAAGTGAAAGTGAGTTTGCGATCCGACCGTGAAGTATGGTGGACACAGAAAGTCAAAGAAATGGAAGAGGCCCAAAAAGCCGGTAATAGCCGAAGATTATTTCAGTTGATCCGTGCGACCGGTCCCCGGAAACCACCTGTGAACGAAACCATCAAGCATCAGAACGGAACGATCATCTCGAACAAAGAAGAACGCGTCGACCGATGGGCTAAATACTTCGAACAACAACTGTCATGGCCACCAGCCGGCACCCATCTAGAGCCCACAGGTGAAGTGGAACCCTGGACGGTGAGCGTTGAACCACCTACGGCCTCGGAGTTTTACCACTGCATATGTTCTCTCAAGCATCATCTCTGTCGATGATGATGATGATGATGATGATGATTTCACATGGCTGTGCGAAAAGAGCCCTTCGAGGAAGTTGGTCGACTGGCATACGCAGCACGTGGTCAAGCTAGCACAACCTGTGCAGTGTGATCAGTTTATCTATCGAGGGTGAGTTATTTCTCCCGAATACCATTCGATGTACTTCAGCATTGCTGATCCGATGTTCCCACTAGACTCGAGCAATGCTCCGAAGACATCGATGGTCAAACACTGAAAGTCTTTTAACTTCCTCGGCGCGCAGCGGCTAGGAATGCAATATGGAGCGCGCCGCAGCATCATAAACCCGACCATTGACGGATAAGTTGATGTCACGCCTACGCCACAGGTGATGTAGGTTCACCAAAGCTGCTCTGACCTTCCCAATGCGGATGGAAATATCATCTTTCGCGAGACCACCGCGACTGATACAGCCAGTCAGGTAAACGAATTTGTCTACTGCCCCAATCAGTTCTTCCGCAAGCATGAGGCTAGGGTTCGAGCCCACCCAGTCTTGCAGTAGCACTTTACACTTTGCGGGCGTGAAGCGTATGCCAAACCGTGAGGCGGAATTATTTACATTATTTAATATTGTTTGCATTGCCATGGCGGCAGATCCCAAAAGAGCTATGTCATTTGCATTCTCGATATCTGTGAGCGGACGCCCCGGGTGCACTTCGACGCCACAGGCCTTAGAGGCTGGTAGTGAGTCTTCCATGATCGTATCAATGACAAAGTGGAAGAGGAAAGGTGAAAGAGGGCAGCCCTATCTGACACCAATTGATGTGGTGAACTCAGGCGGGAGCTTCCCGTAGACGTTCACATGACCGCGGGAGTTGGCGTACAGCGACTAAGGAGGATCAAGAACACGTACATATTTGCTACGTAGACACTGCCATAGTGCCTGGTGGCCCACAGAGTCAAAGGCAGCCTTCAGATCAAGAAACATGACCATTGTTAGTTGCTGGAAGCATTGTCGCTGTTCTAGAATTTTTCGGAGGGTGAATAAATGATTGATGCATCCTCCTACCTCTACCTCTTTCTCTGATCAGTCAGACATCGAAGGATAAGACCAGGGAGCACCGATGCTACGGCTAATGGGCTGATGCCACGGTGGTTTTCGCACAGCATTCGCGTACTCTTTTCGAAGACATGGATAACTGTTGACATGCGCCATTCTGCAGTCACTTTCTCTTCGTTCCATATAGCACCAATAAGCTTCGTCAGGTGGATCGATAGGGATTCTCTGCCTTCTTTGAAGGGGGCTAGATACATACCGTCCGGTGCTGGTGCGTTCTCGCGTTTTAGCATGGATGTTTACATTCCATTCGCCTGTATGCATTATCCCTACAGGTTGTGTTGCAGGAGGCCAGCTGAGCTCTTCTTCGAAGTGTTCGGCCCATCTTTCTGGTTGACGTTTCGCTAACCGTTGCTTTCCTGGAGCCAGTCGACCGTGTCAGTTGATATAGGCCACGGTTGTTTCCTGTAGCAAAAGCCTTCATCTCCCGGGCTTTCGATGTTCACCAGAGGTCTCGGTCTTTCCTTAGACTACATCTAAGGGATTTGTGTGTGCCGTCGTACTCGTTGCCTGCTGGTATAGCTTTCTTGGCATCAGTCATGGATAGCGACCTCAATGACATCCAATGGTCTTGTGGTCGAATTGGGGAAGTCGGACAGACAGCAATGAATGCCGCTAGCATAGCTCCTTTCACATTTTGCCACGCTTCATCCACATGCTCACTGCCACTGCGGTATTGGTTTACTGTGGAGAGTCGCTGGGGCAGCTCAGATCGATACTGTTGAGCTATGGTCCGAAGATAGCGGATTGGCATGCTTCTTGCTAATTTGCGAGGGCCTGAAGGGAAGCGAACCATCAGGCGTGCACGCACGATAGCGTGATCGGAATCAAGTGTTGTGCCCCAGAAGGAACGGTGGTTTTGAATTGACTCTCCTCCGGTGGCTGATGGCCGCGTGGTCCAACTGGGTCTACGGTTGATTTGCAGTTGGTGGCCGCCAGTTTACGCAGTGCGAACGTTTATGTTGAAACTTTGTACTTGCCAGAAACAGTTCATGGCCAGCACAGCTGAAAGAGTCTATCTTCGTTGTCTGTGCGGCGAGCATCGACTCCGAATCGACCGCCCAAATGTGATTCCAAGGAGCTCAGACGACTTACTTGAGCATTCAAATTGCCTGCAAGGATCACAATGTCAGTGCTTTTTGCCTGACGAATGAGCCCGGATAGCTCTCGATAGAAAGTATTCTTCTCCGCATCAGAACTGCAGTCCGTTGGGGCATAAGCCGACACTACAAACAGGCACCGCTTTCTATGCCGAGAGGCATTGAGCTTAGTTGAACTAAATAACTGGACGGCACAAAGATGCCTGTTCACTGGGATCCAATTCAGCAAAGCGCGTTCAGCTCTGGGGCTGAGTGCAACTCCCAGGCCATATATTCCACGAGTCATCGCTTTTGGATCACCGGAGACACGGTTCTGAGTTCATCCTTGACGTTCTGATATTCATAATCACGCTTGGGCATTGTATGTGTGTTTCGGAAACACAGCATACATCAATTTAAAGGGAGTATAAGCTTTCAGCAAGCATTGCCTGTTTGCCAGTTTGACACAGAGTACGGACGTTAAAAGTTCCTATGTAGAAAGGATTTCATGGATTTAGAAGGGTGTTATTTTGTTTATTGTTAAAAGTCAGCGAGGAGCATAATTCCGTTCGATCAGATGATTGACAGTCAAATGACTCAGCGACGTTTGCTCATGCAGTGGGAGGGGGGTGGGGAGGGGGGTCGGTGGACACCGAACTGCGCTGGCAAATGATACTTCTTGGTCGCCCGGGCCGAGGAAGGGGGTTGGTTGAGGTACTTCATCTTGAGCCTTTGACTCAGAAACCTGATCTACGAGGCAGTGGAAGGATGTAGAGTTTTGTTCGAGGGCCATGCCCCTGACCTCTGAATCAGAGGTCTGACCCACGAGGCAGCGGACAGTAGGGTTTTCTTTAGGGACCCTTCCCGGAGCCGACAACTCAAATTTCTGATCTGCTGGGCTGCAGAAGGTTGGCCTAACCCGAGGTTGCCGGGAATAAGGCATTACTGTCTCATTCCTAATGCGGCTGTGCACAGCAGGTGCCTTTTGAGCAGCACCGGACTATTCGGTTTCGAAAGTATTTCGACCGTAGTGGATAATGCACCGGCGGTCACGGTGAAAAAAAATCGTTCAGCTGTTGCACCCTTTCGGTGCCTAGCTGCCATGCCACCCGAAGGTTGCACAAGGGCTGGAATACTGCCAGGTTGCTCAAGCCTAGACAGGGCAGGTTGAGAGGCAGAGGTCGGGTTTGAACCACGGACCTTCCGGTCAGTAAATTCGCGATCTAACCACTTGGGCCACCTCGCGGTCACGGTCAGCTGTTGGACGATCGGAGTGTGCGGTTCCTTTTCTAACCCGTCCTTCCTCGGTGGAAGGCAGCATCGCTGCTTCCATAAAAATGGACATGCTGATCGCCTGGGGGAAACACCTTACTGCCTTCACACTCCTGTCGCAGAGGACAGTACGACTTTACCCCCAGACTAATCGGCACTAGGATTACTCGTAGTACGGGGTCTCGTTGCTCTTGGTCTGACTGCTCTCCTTTGGCCTTCCTGGCATGGTTGCACCCTGTAGAAAGACGTTCCAATTAGTGTAGCCCGCGGGATCATTGCAGCACTCAAGCCCCATTATCACGTCAAGGTGGCAGCTTTAGGTCGGGATGACGTAGGACGCAAGTACTGTCACTGAACTGACCGCCCACCTCGCTGTGTTCCAGGTTTCCTCTGCGCGCCTCTGATGGTGCAGAGTCCGATGTAGTTGGATATGCCGACATGGGTATTGTATTGAGTGGTACAGCGGCAGCGACTCCGCTCGACTTCATACCCGTTGGCAGTCGCCAGTGTGCTGTTCGTTTGGCAACGTCCGTGAAGGAGTCTCGATAAACTATGGTCCATCTCACAATGTTTATTGTACCCGTTTAAGCCCCAACGGACTGTAGCTTTGAATCTGCCAAGGAGTTTCTATGGCGCCCTGGGTGTTCTTTCACAACGGGATAAAAGCTTAGATATCGTTATGGTTGCTGAGGACATGCATGCTCAGGTAGGTAGACTAAGTGTGGTTCTCTCGGATTGAATACGAGACTCACGGACAACGAAGAGCGCCTGCTTCAGATATGTGCCGATCACAGAGTGCCCCTGTGCAGCATCAATTCGCGGAATAACTGAAATCGTTTACAACGTGGTACGCCCCAACTACCCCGGGTCTAGATTGACCACACCGGTGGTGTGGGTCGATCACTACCTTCTGAAATACCAGCGTAGACTCCGACCATGCGCTTGTCCGCCTTTTCAGGTCTACACAAAACGCTCACACCTCACTCAGCCATTGAGAGGCTAGTGGATCCATAAATCAAACGAAACTATCAGAACCTGCTCCTCCAACACATGTCAGAGGGTCGAAGGTCGGATATTACCAGCCGTTGGAACAGATATCCGAGGCGCTACTCAGAGCCGGAACTGCTGCTTGCGGCACAACCCAGCCAACCTCATCCAAACACTCGACCTCTGGTAGGACTGTGGCTTTGCAAGATACTCAGCGACACATTCCTCCTGGCTGCAACCACAACTGCCTTCGGGGCATCACCCAACCCCGGGTGAAACTGAGTGTCCGTGCAGATCGAGAAGCATGGCTTACCCGAAAGGCCAAAGAACTGGGAAGTGTGAAAGTTGCTGAAAACGTCTGCAGACTGTTTCACTTGGTTCGTTCGACTGGTCCTTGGAAGCCTCTTTTCAGCAAAATTATCAGAAGCTAAAATGGCCAAACGTCCAGCAAAGCAGAACGTTTGTAACAGTGGGCACAATACTTCGAACAGCAATTCAGTTGGCCACCT